GCCCGAGTTCGATTCCTCTCCTCATAGATTAGAGTAGTTTAGACTATCAAGAGTTGATGATTGAATTATTGGCTATACAATACATATTATATGATATTTCAGATCATACATCAGAGTGATATATAACATCTCAACGGAGATCATCAGAATATAATATAACATCTCAACAGAGTTGATTATTGAATTATTTGGGTATATTGTACATATTATCTGATATTTCAGATTAGAGTGATATATAACAACATCTCAACAGAGATCATAATATAATAAAACATCTCAACAGAGTTCATGATTGAATTATTGGCTATACATACATATCGGATATTATAATTATTTTCCCTACTATATAACATACGCACTTCCGACAAGATTATCTTCAAAGTGTGAATTCAAATGAGACTTCCCTCTTTGCATGCTAGAAAATACCTTCAACTGCTGACATATAAGAAAATCAAAACCTTCTTCAGTTTCAATAAGTGTAGATATAATAGATATAATTTCTGCAAAACATTCATCTAATAAGCAGTAGAGTACGTAACTGGAATTTGAAAATGGGGGTTCTCGGCACATAGAGGATTTATAGTCCGAGACAATTTTAGAGAAATGTTTTAATACCTACATAACCCAATGAATTTCAAACTATTAAATATATATCCTCTTAAAAAATATTTGCAAAATATAAAAAAAATAAAAACATTCTCCAACCACTTTATATTTGTCTTTACTTTACACCCACCACATGTGAGTTTTTTATTTATCATCAGTTTGGTATTTGAATAAATAGACATGGAATTTTCCCAAAGAAAAAACAAACATAAAGAAAAGAAGAAAATTTGTGATGATAAATGAATAATATAAATATTGGCAAAAAAAATGAATAATATAAATAGACATTAACAAAAAGAAATCTTAATAATTACCAGAAGAGTTGGAAGCAGCATGGTCCTCCTCCATTAGGGATTCATCATCAGTTTGTTCTTGTTCTTCCGTATTCGAATAAATAGACATGGAATTTCCCAAAGAAAAAACAAACATAAAGAAAAGAAGAAAATTTGTGATGATAAATGAATAATATAAATATTGGCAAAAAAGAAAAGAAAAGAGAATAATATAAATAGACATTAACAAAAAGAAATCTTAATAATTACCAGAAGAGGTGGAAGCAGCATGGTCCTCCTCCATTAGGGATTCATCATCAGTTTGTTCTTGTTCTTTCATATTCGAATAAATAGACATGGAATTTCCCAAAGAAAAAACAAACATAAAGAAAAGAAGAAAATTTGTGATGATAAATGAATAATATAGATAGACATTAACAAAATGAAATCTTAATAGACATTACCAGAAGAAGAGGTGGAAGCGGCACTTGACGTCTCATCATCATCAGTTTGGTAAACTCCGTCTTTTTGTACAAATTCTTTATCAACTTTGATGTTTGGGATGTGAGAAATCTTGGGCCACTCTTCTCTACCTTTTCGGCAACCTTGTTCAAGTGTTTGAGAGTAGTCGATGACCAACTCCTTCAGTGGTGTATTTCGTAAGAAGTTTGGCAGTGTTTTAAGCACATTGCAATCAATAATTTCTAAGGACGAAAGGCAGGGCATTATTGTATTTGTCTTATGAGAATCCTCTTCTTCACTCCACCCTGTCATTCCTTCCCACTCTTCCCACTTCGGCAACAAGTCGAATACAAGTGTTTTCAAACTTGGGAATAAAATAACTGGTGATGACGACGATGTTTGCGTTTCCATTGTTCCATCTATTCCCAAAAACTCAACTCCTACCTTTTTCAAGCTCCGCCAATCTTCTATCTTCAGTACTTCAAGGGACTCCAATCTCCCCAAAGGAGGCAAAAACTCAACATACTCGAAATATCGGAGGGTAAGGCTTCTCAATTTTTTTAATGACGTCATCCAATGGGGTCGGAGTGTGGTGCCATTGTACCAATGAATATATAAGGATTCCAGATTTGGATGTGGTTGTAAGGCATTCACTGTTTCTTCCTCGATGTGCTGCCCTGTTCTAGCAAGGGGGAACTCGAATTCCAGACTAAGAAGGCAATTTTTGTTCACCAAATGCGCTTTCTCGGCTTGCCTCGCGTCCTTGAGATTCTCCAGAAATTCT